GGGTAACCTTGTGATGGACTAGCATCCCATCCAGGAGGGAGTAGTAATGCTCCTGGTCCTACACTGTAAACCTCGATAACCTCCAGCCTGGTGGACTAACAAGCTTGCAAACAGACTTTACAAGTAGGAGTCATTTCAAACCTCAGTATGCTTTCTCTTATAAAACACATATATCTGATCTTAAATCATGTATTAGCAGGTTTTATATCCCTTTTTTACCCCTGGTTTCAAGAGCTAAGCCTCCAAGAGAACCATTTCTTTACTGAAATTATGTTAGCATCATAAAATGCCATTCATGTGCATTCCCTGAAACTCTCCCTCTTCAGTAACAGTATACTCACTGGTCTTTTCCACTTTATCCAAATGACCAATCATCATAAACAGTTGAGCAATGGTTGTAATTGTATATCTGGTGGTAGGCAAACCCTAGGAATAATACAACTGACATTAAATGAAAAACAACTTGACAAATTTTAAGTAAAGATAGCATTCTTATCAGGATTTTGTCTTCAGCAGTTTCATGGTTCCACCTGGTTTCAAAGAGTGCTTAGAATTTTCTTCAAAACTCCTCCAAAATCTGCTTAATGTACAGTAAAGTTTCATTTGATTCGTGTAACACAGTGGTCAGATGTGGGGCATGAGTGAGGGGATCAGTTTTGGGTGCCTATGTGCCAATTCACCATGCAAAGTTTCTAAAGAAAACATAAGAAACAAAACCTGTCTAGTAAAATAGGGGAAGGAATATTGAAACATTCATTGAAATCTGTAACTGGGGAAGGCAGTTTACTAAACTTTGTGAGAAAACTTAGCTCTGACAGCCTGAAGGCAAGCCTGAACTAGCCAATTCAATGTTTGCACAGGTTCAAACAATTCAATGTTGTGCTAATGCATGCATTCTTGTACACCTCCTTAAATTCAAGCAGATGAATGAGAGAAGGCAATGAGAGGAACACAACTTAGCAACTCCACAGATTAGTGGCTCAGCTGCCATGTTTCAAAGGTTCAAACTGGGCTATTATCCACAATACTAAGATTGTACATGTTGTATTTCTGCACAATTACAGTATTTCTTAACACAAACACTGAGGCATTCCTTTAAAAATTAATTTTAAATAAATTAATCGTTATCTATTACTTACCTCAGATAAGGTAATTACTGCTTGGATATCTTTTTCACTTGATTCATTTAATGACTCTACATAGTACTTCAAACTACAAGAAAAAAAAAAAAGGAACATGAGTTAATGGCCTAAAACAATGGAAAGTTTGCCAAGAGAACTAAAACAACCATTTAACCGTTTAACTCCCAGAATTGATTAAAATGTAACTTCTCCTGATAATATCCATACATTATCTAGCAAAGCTTCATGTAGATAATGTGACTACTCAAACTTGTCAAGTAGAAGTTGCTTTCTTAATCTTTCACCAAAT